CTTTTCTTTTGGTCTTCTCTTGCCTGTCATTCAATCAAACAGGCTGTGGGTGTGGTGGTGCTTCAACGATGGTCGAGCTGGACGGCCGCCGGCGAGGAGAGCGGCGGCGGGAGTGCGAGGATCCGCCGGCGGGAGCACGGCGGCCCTGATCTACGCGGCGGCCTCCTCCATGGTCGCACACAGAGGAGCTTCAGGTGGCGCATCACGCGGTCGTCCGATGCCCACAACATGAACTCCACGAGCTTGTGCAGGTCCGCGCGAGCGCCGGAGAGCCCCGTCCGCCGTTGGCGAAGGGCCACCGCTGTAGGAAGTGTCGGAGGCGACGTCGTCGACATCGACCAAGAGGAAGAGCCACCGCTGGAGCTGCGCCTGCGTGCTTCTCCTGCTCTCCGCGCGGCCCAGCTCCCCCTGCTGCAGCTTCCAGGAGGCCATCTCCGGCGTGTTCGCGCAGCCCAGCGGTGGCTCCGCGGCAGGGCCGACGAGGAGCTCGTCCAGCGCCGGTGGAGACACCACGGCCTGCACCGGCACCTGCATTTGCCCGAGGTGGAGGCTGCGAAGCTGCTCGGCCAGCGCAACGGCCAAGGCCTGGTTGCCGCCGAGCATGGCGAAGCGGCCGGCGCGGTCGTTGTTGACGATGCGGAGCTCGGAGTTCTCGAGGCGGAGCGCGGCGGCCTCGCGCGCGGCGTCGGCGCGGTGGCCGAGGTAGAGCTCGCGCGGCGTCCTGGTAATGGACCGCGAGGCGGGCCAGGCGCAGGCAGTGCTCCGTGGCCGCCGCATCATCGACGCGGGAGCCGGAGCGCCTTGGATGTCGGACACCGCTGCGACGACGCTGGATGCGACACTGACCAGCGCCACCCTTTGCTTCGACCCATGCGGAGCAGCACACGGGGATATGGAGGAGAGCAGGGAGGCGTGGGGTAGGTGGAAAAGGGGGGAGGGAGAGGGGAAAAGGGGCTGACTGTGGGCCAGTTGCATGCCAAAACATAGCGCTGGTGTCCCCAGCTCGCCCCAGCTCTCTGGGTTCGGGTTGAGAGCGCCAGCCGTAACTTTCGTCGAATCCGGCGGAAAAGGAGGTCTCGGATGCATGGCTGGGGCAATTCTTTTACAGGAGTGAATTCCGGTTTTTATCCTCTATTTTAACTTTTTTGACACTAATTACCTCATTTAGCGGGATTTCATCCGTTTTACCCCATTTAGCACAAGTGTTGCCACAATTTATCCTCTTTTAAATTTTACGTGCGTTCTGACCTACGGGTCACAATTTGTCAGGTCTAACTGGCATGCCACGTTAACGGGTTTTTTCTGTCTATTTTTCTCCCTACTAAACTCATTTCCGGTTTGAAGTATTCTGATGGGACGATTGTACTTGATCAGCATGTCATATTACCATTGAATAAATTATAGGAGAAATTGTTACCAATATAATCTAAAATCATGTATGTTTTTCTTCAGCTATCATATATGGCCTTAAGTATGGATGGTTCTGTAGATTAGATTAAAGTGGTGTAAATATACTACTTTACTAACTCTGATGCACCTACATATCTAAATATCTAGGTAGCAAATATGTTGACTGAAGAGTATGTGTTGTTACTTGCTAGCTGTAAAGGAAGTTTGGATCTTTGTATCTTATAATGCATGCTAATACGTGTTCGTTCACCGTATTAGAGTATATTATGATTGCAGCCACTAATTCATTTTTCTTTTTCTTGCACAAAGCGGATGGCAACGGAGATGTAGAGTGTTAGGCATATTTTACATGTCCGTAGATAAAAGAATCCAGAGCCAGAGATGATTGAGAGGTATTTCATTATTTATTTTGATATAAAGGAGAAGGTGAAGGAATTGGGTTCCAACCCTTGGGACAGCGCTAATTATCAGAAGAAGGGGGCCAACGGGAACTTCATGATTGAGTTAACAGATGATGCAGGCATGGTGAACATGCTAGAGGAACTTGATGCTTATAAGAAAATCAGTTTGAATGTTAATTGGGGGAGAGCAACATAAACGAGAAGCCATGGGAGGCGAGCGTGGCGCGCGACCGACTTGGACGTTGGACGTGCCGCGAGCGACCTCCATCGGCTGAGCCGGTCAGAAGAAGCGGCGCTGCCCAGTTCAGCAGTGAGAAAAATAGCCAGGAAAAACCACTGACGTGGCATGCCAGCTGGACCCGACAATTGTGACCCACCAGTCAGAATGCTCAAAAAAATTAAACGGGGTAAACTGTGGCAACATTTTTGCTAAATGGGGTAAAATGGATGAAATCTTGCTAAATGGGGTAATTAGTGTCAAAAATGTCAAAATAGGGGGTAAAAACCGGAATTCACTCTTTTTACAACCAACGCAAAAAAAAAAGATCCTCGGGAGCTGTTGGGGGCCTAGTGAAGATGCTCTAAGCTGAGACCGGTAGATTGCTCAATAGCTGCAAAGGTGACTGATTGCTCAATAGTAACTTTCATGCAAGCCCACCTATTTTTTAAGCGAACCAAACATAACAGGCCATATTGTTGTATGTTATGCAGAGTATCTTGATGTATCTCGGTAGACGCCGCAGGTAGGTAGGCGTTCCACACACAAGAGGAGTAGTACGGGGCATCTTCTTGGTGCCTTGCTCTTGGAGTACGTGAGCCATGTCGTTAGTGGGAGGGTGCTAGGCAAATGCACATGAGACGCACATGCTGGCACACACGCGCATCTTAGGAACTCTAAAAATAAAGAAATAAGAAAAATTGAGATTGAGATGTAATGCTCATTTTAATTTTACTAGTAAGATACATATGCACTGCACGCATCAAATTTCGCAACCAAATTATAAATAAATACCACACTATGACATGTAAATTTTGAGTCATATACGCATGATATAGATATTCGTTTAATTTTTATAGTTTATCTCATTCAAAACCAACTAGTTTTATAAAAAAAATCATTTTAAGATTCATGGAATTGCGCATTGTCAAGCATAAAGTAAAAACAAATAATGACGATTCATTTAGAAAAAAAAAAGTTCATGCAATTATGATATAGAAGAAAGTTTGTGCATTATGCTTAAGTTCAACCATGGAATGTTCTAGATTGTACATGTGGAAGAATCTAGTGGAATGTAGATGATATCCAATGGCCAATAATGCTCGGATTTGTCATCTCTGTACCGTCAGATTGGTTTCATCCAACGACCATTTTTCAAAGTTATTCACACACTACATAAGGATATAGATACATGATTTATTCGCACCAAAGTTTGTTTGATTACAATACACGAAAAAACAATGAAACATTTTCCTTTTTTAAAAGAGACAATACGTGAAACACCCTTTACTGATTGATCACCACCGATGGACAAAAAAGACCATCCAAGATTCTCCCTCCGTTACATAACGCCATGGTTTTAGTTCAATAACTACTGCTAATGGGCAGCCGGTTACCCATTGGTGCCCGCATTGTTTTTGTTCTTGTTAGTGGTGACATCATCACTACCATCGTGCCAGCCATATTTTCAGGCATGAATTCGACCTGTCAATTGTCGCATCCACACCGGCAACAAATTTGGCCTGGTAGGGATATGACGCGCCCCACGCCCATGCTCCTGCGACGCGCCGCTCCGACGCCCGCAGCCACCTCCGCCGCCGCTTCCCCGCCCCAGGCCCTCTTTCAGGTCAGCTCCCCGCCATCCCCGCTTCACCCGCCGGGCTTCCCATGGCCTCTCGCCCCATGGGGGATGCCCACAACCCCCTCTCCGCTGCTTCTGGCGGCCGCGCCCTCTGTAGATCTGGCGACGCTGCCACGCGCGACTGCGGGCTCGTGTTCCTCCTCCGTTGCTGCCGCTCGGGCGGTGGGCTCTGTGCGGGATGTGGATGGGGGGCGGCAGCGCTCGGTAAGCTTTGCTTTCAATGCGGTGGTGCTGGATTCCACCTCGCCCCCTCCTATTCAAGGCGCGCATCGGCCTTGCCTCAAGACAGCTCCTGCAGGCGCCTTCAAGACCCGCCGGTGCGCGGTGTGGACATCCCGTCGCTCGAGCCCCGAGTCGGCCGTGTCTCCCGGCGCAAGCTCCGAGGAGGGTTGGCAGCTCGTCAAGGCGCCATACTGGTGGCGATCACTGCCCAGGTACCAGCATTCAAGACAGGGGAGGACCTCTGCTTCTTATTCCCCTCCACCGTGCAGATCCTTTGTTCCCCACCGCTTCCGCACCTGCCACCGCTGCCTCGACGTTGGTCACTGCAAAGCCGACTGCCGGAACCTGTTCAAGTGCCGGGCGTGTAGGCGTTGTGGCCACCGCGCTCGCGACTGCAGTGTGCCGCCCGCCTCCCCGCCCCAGTCTTCAAGGAGTGCTTCACCAACGCCAGCCGCACTCCCTGCATCCCCAAGTTCGGCGCAGTTCCAGCTTTTGTCGCCCCCAACCCCAGAGCCCCCTTGCGTCTGTGATGCCGCGCGTTGGTGATCCCTCGCTGCGCCCGGAGGAGGCCCATGTGGTCATCACCTCCACGCCGGCAATGGAGGCCAGCGCCGCCTCCCTCTCCAACCTGGGCACGCTGGTCTGGCTTGGGGGAAACCGCCCTCGCATCAATGCTGCTGAGATCAGGAACGCCATCGCCAGCAAGTTCGCCATCGATCACTAGTACATCAAGGTGGTGCCGCATTACCCAGAGGATTCTTCGCCCTCTTCACCCACCCGCATCACTGCGGCATCGTCACCGCCTCGCCTGGTCGCTTCAGCCATGGCGGCCTGGACATCCACGTCGCCAAGTGGAGGCCGGAGGCCAACGCCGACCTGGTGGAGGTGTATTACCACGTCCATCTCCGCATCGAAAACCTGTCGCTCGATGTGTGGTGCAACGAGGTGGCGACACAGGTGCTCGGCCCGGACACGTTTCTGCACTACTTCGACGTCGCCACCGTGCAGAGAGAGGACTCCTCCTCCCTCAACCTTTGGGAATGGTCTGCCAACCCCTCCGCCATCCCAAAGGTGCTGCGTCTGACGACCACCGGCAATCAGCCGGCCGGCTACAGCAGCGGGCCAAGTGTTGTGGTTGGTCGGCGCGGTTTCAAGCGGCGCGTTCTCGTGCACCTCGATCTGGTCGAAGATTTCACTCCGGACATCAACGGCAACATCCCTCGGCGCCCTCGCTCCTCGCACCCGCTCTCCATCACCCTGGGGGTCATCGATGGTGAGTCAAGGGCACGAGATAGGTCTGAGGTGGCTGTGCGCCGCCAGGAGGACGACCAAGACAGGGACCGGCATGATGACGACCGCGACCGCGGGCGTCGTGGCCGCGATGATCGCCCCTCTTCCTGGAGGGACCATTTCTTCAGGAGCCGCTCGCGCGCTCCGGAGCGCCGTGATGACTTGGGCCGCCGCAACTCCAAGCTGGTGCAGCGCCTCCCGGACGGAGCGGTCATCCCGGCCTCTAGTAGGCGCGGCCGGCGCCGCCCTGATGACTGCCTGGAACGGCATGGGCGCCCTGGAGGTGTTGCAAGCCCGGTCTGCGAGGACTCCCGTGGACGCTCGCTCCCCCCCCCTCGCCGCGGACGACCTCTTGTGATGTGGTGCAGCTTAGCTCCTCTTCAGGCGAGGCCACTTGGCGATGTTGGATTGCCCCCTGCTT